TCTTAAAATGGTTTGTCCTTCCCTTATTAGAGGGTAAATCAGTGACATATTTCCCTATTCCAATTTACCTCTGAAGCAATATCAATGTAAAACACAGTAAGCTGTCATCTTCTATTTCCTTTTGCACAAATATTTTTGTTCAGCTGGAGGGATTTATTGTCCTAAGAGATAAGGGTGAAAATGCAGAACTCATCTTTTGTCTGGGGAGCTATTTGATCCCCATACACTTTGTCTACAAGTGAAATCTGGACTAATGATCATTGGCTTTGTGGTGCAAAATGGTGCATAACGTTTCAGATCTAGTTAAGTTTGAGATTGTAAAGCCTTCAAGGCAGTTTCATAACCATGCCATCTTCACATGAGTTGGTGAGGATTCTTATGAGAACTGAAAAGATATAAATGAATCCTTCACTTTTCCTGTGTTGTTGACTTTTCCCATCCTTCACTGGATCCATTCACAGGTGTAGCTTATTGCTACACCTTTGCATTTTGTCATCTTCATGGACAATGGTGCATTGTGGGCATACGTTTGTATTTGCCAAGAACAAGAGAAGTGTCAATAGGGTTTTATTTAGTGCATACCAATTGTCACTGTAGGATTAAAAACAATATTGCTGGAGTTAGTATTTTGCTATTTAATGACACTAAAATAATAGCTCCAGATAACAAAATCTTCCTTGTGAATCTGTATCATGAACCTGTCAAGCAGCTTTTTAGTTGCCTTTTTATTTTTTTTACTTTCTTGCATCAAGCTGATTGTCATACCCCAGTGTGTCAGCATTAACTAATAAAAATGGTTTTCTATTTAATGGCTGATGTTGACCAGACTGAATGGTACAGTCACTAGAGTGATATTATTACTCCCTTAGAGAATGCAGTTTCCTAGGCTGTCATGATTTTTGTTAAATGAACTGTGGATTTAATCGAAGCAGATGTGTAACAGCAAAATATAATATAGCTTGTACTTGTTCTGCAAAATATGTATCTCAGTTTTATTTAAAAGACAAACAATCTCCAAAAGCTGTATTTGCTTGTTTTTTTCATTGTTAGTAGTCAATGGCATATCACAGCCCTTAAGCACTAAAAGAAATAATTGTTATCTTAACTTGAAGGAAAGTATTGTTTGTGTCTCAAATTGACTATCTCAAGCAGAAGCTAGTTTGTAACCAGTCCTTTACTGATATAACATGTTTGATGGAACCAGAAGTAGGTTATTCAGCTAAAAGGTTTTGGGCAAGGTAAATTTCTTAGGAATTTGAAGTGTGATAGCCCGACTAGGGCTTTTGTAAGGAGAAAGCATGACTCACAAATCTATTGGATTATGTGGAAGAAATTAATGAGCATATGGCTAAGGGCAGTCCATTTGCTGTGTGGTATTTGACTACCCAAAAATGTGTTCAACTATTTCCTTCTAACTGATAAAAGAAAGTAAATTGAAAGGTTTTCTTGTAGAATAATGCCTGATTAAAGACCTAAAGGGTGGGTAAGTGGGCAGTTTTAACAGTGGAAGGAGCTTACTCACAGAGTCCTAGCAAAACTTCCGCTAGTCCTGGCTGTTCAATAAATAAGAAAGACAGCAAAATGTTCTGATAATTTAAGAAATGTACTTCACATTATTAAAATGGACTGAGGATTTTTAAAAATATCTTGAAATACGGATTGACTTGGCTATGAAACAGGAGGATAAATTCAATGTGGTCAAGTTCAAGGTAAGACTACTCAAAAAAACCCCCTCATGACCCATGTGGAGGTATCTTACATCTCAGGATGAGATAGCCTTGGGGGGGCTTCCTCCAGGCCCATCTGCCAGGGCTGTGCCTAGGCAATTGCTCAATTCATCAGCACTGCTATGGTCAGAGTAGGATTGCATTGCAAGTTTTGTGGTTTGGACCTGCAAGCAGGTCTTGAGCAAGATTAAGTTTTAGCTTAATCCAAGCTTCCCACCTCATGAGAATGATCTGATGTCCTTCAGGGTGGTAAAAAAAGATGGTCCTCTAAAGACAGATCTTAGTGGTGTCTACATATATATTATGTTGTAAGGCTAATATTGTTTAGAAATTATTATTCAGTCTCATGTTTCCCACACATCTCATGTTGTTATGCCTGAACTGAACACCAAAGTAGAAAGTATCTCTGATGTAGTAGTTTTAGTTTTTAGGAGTGGTAAATTTTGTGTTTAACTCACATTGAAAAGCTGGCAAACATGACAAACCAAGACTGGAACTGCAATTAAAATAAGAAGCTCATACAATGAAGTACCTATTCTCTGAAGGTAGAGATTTGCTTTGGATTTCAGGAATAATCCTCCTAAAGCTAAAGAAGGTAAACACTTCTGACTATATATGGTCACAGCTGACAAAGTGCCGTCAAGTGCTGCACTTGCTAATTTAACTGCCTTCGATTTAGAAAGGAAAATTCACCTTTCTCTTGTAAGGAATTCACACATATTTCAAATACCATTTAATGCATCTCAAACAAGAACTAACGTGCCTTCAAATCAACTTTCCACAAAGTTCTGCACTTTAAACAGAGGCTGATAAGCAAAAAAAATGGACATCCACGTCTCTTCCAAGTCTGCCAAAGCTGGGATGTCTATAGGAGATCAAGGGTCTTGGCATCAAATGCATGTTCTTCTTTAGAAAATTATCTGCTAAAGCCCTTATTCTGGACCCCACTCAAAACTGGCCCTGATACATCCTCGGGCCCTGTCCTCATGCATGCATTTTTCCCGTTAGGTCACAGAATAATGCCAGCAGGACTGGCAGGGTCCTCATCCCTGTGCTTCTTACCACAAGGAGACAGAATACAGCTGCATGCTCTACATCTGTATTAAAACACCTGCCATGCCTCCATGCCTCCTTTTAGGCTCTTTTGGAAACCTCCCTTCTGTTTCTCACATCTCTATTTTAAAGTAGTTATCAATTTAAGATACCAGCTGTTAGGAGTGGTTAATTTCACAGTAAACTGGAATCAGTCCTGTATGTATGTGTGTGTGTTTGTAAGCTACACATACATATAGATGCACCTGTGTGCACTTGTGCACTTTCTTTTCCATTATGAAATGACAGAGATATTTCAGTAAGTAAATTTAAGGAACTTTTGAAAATATGCAATTTTCTTAGAAAGGTGGAGTAGTTGACCTCTGGCTTGCAAGCAGATATGGCAGTTTATACACCAAAGGAGTTTATTCTGATTACATGGAAAGATTTCAGAAACAGAGCTAAGATTTGACTAGGTCTTTCGATTTTTAAATAACACTCGATAACACAATGAAAAATGACACTTTTCCAACATATGTAGGTTTTTTTAATACATCCAATATTGTTCCTGTCTATGCTGGTGACAAAGAATTTGTTTTTTTTCTGGCACTACTACGCACCTGGCACAGCAGCAGGAGAGAGCTGCATTTTGTTGTATTTTGTGCAGCCTGAACAGAGTTATTAGTCAAGTGCTGAATGCACCACCTTTATTGTTGGGTGATACATGATACAGAAAAGTAGCGCTAGGACTTTAGATTCTAGCTGAGCTTTGTGGACTGTTAAAAATGTGGATGAGATCACTGTATGGTGCAAGTCAGTCATTAATTTCAGTGAGGCCAGGATTTCATTTAGGCATATCCTGGAATTAAGCCAATTTTTGCATTTAAGAAGGAACACATTCAGAACCCCACCTGTGTGGGGATTTGGGTTTATCTTTTCAGAGTGCAAGCACATGCTCGTCTATGGGCCTTTCTCCATAATCAACTTAAAACTGCAGTTTAGTTTATATTTGTCTCCATTATCAGTGACACACAATACCTGGGGATTGTATTGCCAGTGACTCCCAGCACTGTCTCCCTGCCTCAGCTTCTGCCAAGAGGAGCAAATTGCACTGGTCAGTTTTTCTTCTCTGTACCTTTAAATTAATGAGGAATTAAATTATTTCTGACTTCCTGCCCATGTGGTGTAAGGAATTCATAGCAGTACCATTTCAGAGTTCATTCTTGGGTACTGCTTGAGGTGAAACACTGCCAGGCTTCTGAGAAAACCAAAAGTGTAAGTAAACATTTGTCCTGTTGTGTTCAAAATTGCTGAAGTGCAGTTGACCCACAAAGCAGAAGGTCTTTTGGGCAACTGAGCAAGATTGGCTGCTACAGTAGTTCCTGCAATTAGCTTCTCTTTATACTTTGCATCAGAATTGAGTTGAGAAAAAAAACCCTCATTTACCTAAAAGTGTTTGGGGGTATTTAATATTAAGTAGGTAGACTGCTAATCACTTGTATATAATGAATTTTGAAAATTTTCTCTGTTTGGCTTGCTTACAATAACTGAATGTTCTTCCTGTACCCAAATGGAGTGGCTTCAGAAAAGAATGTATGCAGAAATGTTTTGACTTTAAAAAAGATTATGTCTATATCAGGTGAATAAAATAATGATGAATACCACACATAAAATTATGAACACATGAACATTACAGTTAAATACCTACTTTGTGGCTTGCTGATTAAATGTATAAGACCTGTAACTATTTTTAGTGTAACTGAAAATATCATGTGTCTAGTTTCATATTTCTGAAGATAGCTGCAATACAATTTGTAGTGTATTGGCTAAATGCTAACCTCTATGGCAAAAGCAGCAATATGGAGTTTTGCAGTAATTACAGAATTTTAAATTTGCTTTTAGTAATTATTTCAGTATTTGAATCTAAGGATCATTCTCTTTCATTGTATCCATAAAACCCAAACTCACAACTCTTCAGATAGAAAAAAAATAAAAGAAATTGAAAGCTTAATCTATTTCATTAATTTTGCAATGGGAATAGTTATTTGCAAGCAATATTTTTGTACTTCTCTTTTTTTCATTTCTACAAAAAGATGCTACTCAAGTGCTTTAAATCTCTTTCAATAATGTATTTGACATCACATTTTGGAAACTGTATTCTATTTGTAATTATAGCCACTTGGGACCCAGAGGAGTTGATCATTTCAGTTGCATTCATTTCTTTTTTGTTTCCATTTGCAGGATGCTCTGGCCCACTAGGGATAGAAGGAGGAATTGTGTCAAACCAACAAATTACTGCATCTTCTACTCATCGAGCTCTTTTTGGACTCCAGAAATGGTATCCATACTATGCACGACTTAATAAGAAGGGTCTTGTGAATGCTTGGACTGCTGCAGAAAATGACAGATGGCCGTGGATTCAGGTAACAGATGGAGCTGAGGAGGAAAAAAATCTCCTTGATGCAATTGCCAGAGTCACTTAAGAAACTGATGAAGACAAGTGGTAAATTAACAGCTAGATTCTTATTCACTGTCAGAAATGTAGCCTAGACTAAAAGGGACTATTTAGTTGTGAAATAATAATAATCTTGACTTTACAAATACAAAAATCTTTTTATTTAAAAAACGTGTGCATATGTTCCATTGTGGCTTTAAACCATGGAAGCAAATTTATAAAGACTTTTTTCAAGGAAGCTGCTTTCCACATATGTTAGACTTGCTCGTTAGGTCCTTAGTAGCATTTCCCAGCAATATCTCTTGGTAGAGATACTTTGACACATGCAGCCTTCCTTGGGCATCATTCTAGACTGCTTTAATGTTGTTTTAGCTGTACCAGAGCCTGCAGGAATAGTCTGTCCTCTCTGCTGAGCTGCTCTGGGCACACAGGTTAAGCATTGTGTGCATCATACTGGAAGCAACAAGAGCTGTTTTAATTAAGGTTGAAATAGCTGTTAGTTCAGCCACATCCGTGGGGCTGAAAATACACATTTTTTCATTCCCACTCAAGGATATTGCTAGAATGATTCAAATAGCAGTGCCCTCGTTGTGGACTGGATTTCTCTGTGCCCAGCAAATGACTTCAGTAAGAGTCATGAAGCAGTGAATATGAAGTCCTGTGGCTGTATTTTAATGAAGGTAGTGATTACCTACTGACTGCTGTAGCTTTTTATTTTTATGGTGTTTTCTTTTCATGATACATGAATTGGGCTAAGCTTTGGCATTTTCAGCTGTTAGCTAAGAAAGTTGATGTTATATACTTTTGGGAAAACCTTTTGCACTAATCAGTGTAGTCAATATGTGAAGAGAGTGCTTCCCTCCTAGTGAACCCACCACAAGAGTAGCAAAAGATGGTACTTGAGCATCTTGTCTACCAGCACCAAGTTAAACTGTCTATATGTCCCTCAGGTGTGTCAGACACACTCTTCTTGAAGTTACCTTTGTGTACATGGCATAATTTTTGTTCATATTCAAGTTTTTGTGCTGACGACCATTCACGATTTTTCTGAGCGGTTCCCAGATATGTGGGGGAAAAGCATGCAGGACTACCTGTTCGTTTTTCTTGTTTGGAGAGCAGGCACAAAGCACTATTTGATGAAGTTTTCTGAAACTGGTGTGGTGAGAGTGCTGGATTTTGTCAGTTCTGAAAAATGAAGCTGGTGTTACTATTTGTTATTCACTGCAGAGTGAAAACACAAAGGCCCTTCAATGTATGTTAAGTCAGTTTTCTTCCACGAAGACCAGAGGGGTTAGGAAGTCTCTAAAATTTATACATTGACAAAGAACTGGAAAGACTAACACTAAGGGACTTGAGCAGAATATTTCCACAGGAGTAGAAAGCTAATGTAACTTTAATGGATAATGAAAAAGTCAGTGTTACAGTAGCTTTTGGTCTGCTTTAGAGTGTGGGCTTTATTACATGAGCTGGAGAAAAAAACTCAAAATCATTTAGCACTGGCCCCCTAGACATGTCTTTACTAGGAGATGAACTGGATGGGGATGGCTAATGCTGTGTTGCTTCTGCATTTGTACTTGGCAAAGTCACCACCCACCGTGGAGGCAGCTGTCAGACAGCTGTGCATGTTTCTACCCAGAGCAGCGTTATGTCTGCCTTGGACTTTGCTCCCAGGGAAGTCTTCCCTTTGCTCTTACCTGGAAGGAAGGTTGGACCAATGAAGAAAACGTGTCTACAAATCTCAGCCCATGGCATCGGGTTTCAACAATTTGTTCTTTTTTGGAGTTAATGACCTAATCTAGGTGGTGCCAATCCCATGCAGGTTTTTCTGTAATTTTGACAGCCATAGTATGTAAGGACTTTCTAGAAGCTAATTAAGTTATATGATTAATGTGTACTAAGGACCTAGTAATCCCTTCTTTTTCCTCTCATTTTTCTTTTAAAATATACTTTGGTCTATAATTTTCACAAAACTTGCTGAGTATTTTATTTTTCTTTTTAGTTCAGAGCAAAAATAAAAGTAGTCTTTGTAATTTAAAAATGGAAGTTTAAATCTTGAGAAGATTTTTTTTTTTTCCCTTTTCTGAAGACTTTTCTCCTTAAAACACCTGGGAACAGAAAATCTAAATTTTTTTCAGGGAGATGATACTTGTAGAGAAAAAGTGCTTTTTAGTGTTCTGCAGAAACCCTGTTTTGATTTGGCAAGGACACAGACCTCCACAAACTCACACTTTATGCACTGCATAGTAGTTCTTTACATCAGAGCACTGCCTTGTTCTTCAGGCATGAAATACACTCTAAGAGACAGACACTGCCTGACCCTAATATGGGTGAACAGTTTCTGTTGAGAGAAGAGGAGAAGCAGAAATCCCACATCTTATTTTGGCACAGCTTCTGTAATGGCCAGGGAGATACTTCGTAAGCATTTGTGGAAGGTTACAAAAAGTCAGCCCACTCTGACTTGTGCTGCTAAGTTTCTGGCTACCTTGCTTCTGGTCTTGTGGGAGAGATGCTCCCTCTAGCAACAGCCGACTCTGAGTTTTTACTTTCTTTATCGTGTCACCAGCTTCTTCCCAGATCCTAATGTGAGGGGTCTGTATATGGGACCTTTTCCATTTTGGTCTGCGTGACAAAGCAGCTGGTCCAGAAGATGGCTCTGGAAAAACGGTGTGAATGTTTGGCAGAGATTAACTGGAAGGAAACCAGAAACTCCATTTTTAGGAAATGTAAAATAACATTTAGCACAGTGAACCTGAAGCAGTAGCCTGTTACCCTCTTATAGTTTCTAATGCTAGATAAATTCTAAAGGAAGCTGTGTATAATGGGCAAAGTCCCCCAAAGTATAATTATGTACAGGCCTGTAGCTATTTTTGCCTTGTTCCATTATTATCAATTTTCTTTGTCATTTAATTTCTTTATTTATATGCAGCTTGGCAAATGAAAGGTTTGAGTGCTTTGCTTATAGCTCACTTGTAATGAGTGCAGAGTTTTTTTCTCTAATCTTTCAGGTGTCTGACACACATGAACTAATTAGTATGCAATTTCATTTTCCTGCATTCTCCCAATGAACTGAAAATTGAAATTGCCATTTTAAATTACACTGTCAGCACATAATTAGTAATGGCACTACAATGCTTGTAATTGGCTTGTGATTTAAAGGGTCAGTGACCATGTTTTTGAAAGCAAATTAAAGTCGGAGTAAGTCATATCTGCCTTTTAAAGTTCTGCTGACCTCTGTTTCTCCTCATAGGTTGGCTGTGATAAAATAGCACCTGTATACTGTTTACCACTTTATTAGTGACACTAACTTTTCATGTTTCGAAATATAACAAGAAAAAATCCCACACTTCTATTTTTCATTAATTTTTCCTGAGATATAAGCAAAATGGTCACTTTGCCTGTTCCGTTAACAAGTCTTTTTTGTCAAAACTCTTTTTTTAAGAGAGGACTGGTTTCTCTTTTCCCTTTTTTCCTTCTGCATTTATGGCTTTAAAATATGCTGTTTCTTTTTATTCTGATTTCACTTCATCTCTACTCCTTCCTTGCACATATCTATATTTTTCTATTCACACGTATTTTGTCAAAGCTGTATGGAGCAAAATAGAGATGGCCATGGGCAGGATTGTTGTTTCTGTTACCTCTTTACCATATCCAATGTCATGATAACTGCTAATCTCTAACAAACTGCTGGCAGGACCTTCTAAATGTTACTCCTCTCTAGTGATTTCTAACCTAGGGATCTGTGCCTATGCCTTTACATTTCTTCTCTCCCAGTTTCACCACCCAAACCTAGTATTTCTTAACTCATTTTTCCCCTTTCATGACTGGTTTCCATTTTGCTTCCATAAAATATTACCCTTTTTTATATCACTGCAGTTATTACCCCTGTAATACACAAAGAGTTAAGCCATGGTGGATATGCCAAAAATGCACAAGCTGAAATGTTGTGAAGAACACTGTAAGACAAGGTAGAATAATTCCGTATAACTAGCAATGTAAGGACTGGCCTACATTATCGAAATCCAAAGTCAGGCATTTAAGATGTAAAAGTAACTTTGGAAGAAGGATGGATGTTGAGGAACCATGCTCAGGGATAACAGAGCAAGGCAGGTGAATACTGTCCCGTAAGATAACAGTCTTGCTCCTTTAGTCTTTTGGAGTAGGTATGGTCTTTTTGTTCTACAAATAATACCAGTGCCATGGGTTCTTGGTCAACAGGTGAACCTTCCTAAATGTTAAATTTGCCCAAGAACAGTAAGACATACCACCTAGGTCAGGGAGCCTGGAGTGGAGAAGGAGCTTTGGTGCCTCCTGCCACTGCATCGGCAGGGGGGGTGGGCAGTGTGCCAGGGGGTCCTAAGAATATTAACCTAAGAAATACATCATGGTCTTAGAACAAAGTAAGAAGATTGGTAAAGGCATGGAAGAGGTATAGGGTAAAAGGTATCAGATTTAAGGCTAGACAGCAAAAGTGTGGGTATGCAGTGAAGCCTGGTAGGAAGCATTACACAGCAAAGACTGGTATGGTTCGCAAGATGATGTTTCGAGTCAGGAGGGGTCAGGGAAAGTTTTGATTAAGGAAAGGATGGGGTAAATTTGATTTCCTGGTCCTGGCTGTAGCCAGTCGATTAAGCAAGGAGAGGAAAAGATCAGTGCCTGCTGGTTCCCATGCAGTTGCTGCTGTTTCACCATGACTGAGCTATCACATCTGAGAACAAGAGATCCCTTAACTTCTGCTCATCTCCTGAGCATGATTGTGGAGAGGATCCCTGCCTGATGATGCAAAACTTTTAATGGTGTACAAGAGACTACCACCTCTTTTTTAAGTGCTTTGTGGTCTTTTGGACATGGAAATTGTTTTTACAAGGTCAGTATTAATCCACAGCCACCAAGAGCAGATTTGAGCATACCTTGTATGTGGAGAATATTAAGAAAATGAACTAATTACTGTGTATCATACCACTGTGTGGG